TATACAAGGGATGAACATCCCCATTTAAAGGACGCCTGTCCATAAATAAAATACAATAAAAAAATTTTATAAACATTTGAGACGGCCGTCCATTACGTTTGGACGCCCGTCCATAATTAAAAAAAAAAAAAATTCTAAACATGGATACTGCTTCTTCTTCTTCCTTTAGGAAATGTTCCATTTTCTTTCTCTTGGAATAACGGCGCCATGCAGCTTGGATGAAGCATGCGGCCCATGTCTTCCACTGTTATGAGTAGAACCTGAAGGTGTGCTGAACATGTCTACTGTGAAGGCGCCTAAATTAAGTGGCTGCAAATTTTAACTCTTCAGCGACAGAGCAAAAGCCTGAACCTCTCTCATAGCCTTCATTGTCCAGGTAGAGGATGGGAGGTTAATGCTAGATTTGGGTTCCAGTGCCCAGGTCAAAAGCTCCTCGCCACAGAAATCTCCTTCTTTCAGAAAACAACACAAAGGAGAGAGCTTTAGGAGCTTCTGTTTCTGAGGCGCAAGTGAAGGCCAACGAAGATAGCGCTTCCAATACTAATGATGATAATAATAATAATAACAATAATAATAATAATGTATTCTTGCCTTAATCAGTATTGAGTATGGAGATGTACAGGTCCATATGCATATCTGCATGCATTTACTTAAAAGTCTGATTAGTTAAAAGTCGTGGGCAGTTATTAGATGATCAGAGAAGAAGAAGAAGAAGAAGAAGAAGAAGAAGAAGAAGAAGAAGAAGAAGAGAAGTGAAAGTGGAGAAGTTGAGCAATTATTACATAAGGGACAGGTTCAGCACACCTTCAGGTTCTACTCATAACAGTGGAGGACATGGGTCGCATGCTTCATCCAAGCTGCATGGCGCCGTTATTCCAAGAGAAAGAAAATGGAACATTTCCGAAAGGAAGAAGAAGAAGCAGTATCCATATTTAGAATTTTTTTTTTTTTAAAGTATGGCGGGCGTGACGCCTGTCCAAACACAAGGGACGGGCATCCAAACGTAATGGACGGCCGTCCATAACAGATGGACGGCCGTCCCAAATGTTTATAAAATTTTTTTATTGTATTTTATTTATGGACGGGCGTCCTTTAAATGGGGACGTCCGTCCCTTGTATATGGATGCCCGTCCATATAATATGGATGCCCGTCCATATAATATGGACGGGTGTCCATGTGAGTGAACGACTGTCCAAATTTGATGGACGGCCGTTCACTAGAAAAAAATTGTTAAAAAAATCAGAAGCGTGTTACACGTAGGCCGGTACAAAATTTCGATGTAAGTTTTTCGGTGTCCCTAACTTTATTGTTAAAAAAATAGATAGTTAGATGTTGAAGTCTAATTTGAAGTTATTGATTCAAGTTAAAAAATCTCATCCTTTAATAAAAGGGTCATATCATTGTAAGTTTATATGCAAGTTTTATCTCATATTATGGCATATTCATGTAGACTAGACAAATTGGATCTAAATTTAAACGTAAGGCCATCCTATGATTTGGACCCAAGACAGGGGCGAATTGAGAGGCACAAGCCTTCTAACCCAAATGATAAAAAATAATAATAATAATAAAAGTAAACGACATATTCCCACATGAGGTTCAACAAAGTAGCAAGTTGATACCTTTGGTTTCATTTATTCTAGATTCCCACCCTCAAAGTAACACCGTTAACTACTGTTAGGTTCTGACATATTTGTAGAGATTGCAATTATTGAACTGCCCTTGAACACTTGTCTTTTGATTATTTAGCAATAAAAAATTGAGTGGGCATGTAAAACCCTTCATCTAATTGGTTCCTGCCCCCTAGCGCCACTGTAGCCTCTCAAGCCACTTTGGCCATTCCCAACATTGGAGGACAAAGGTGAGGGTCCCCGAATAACGACTAAGGCCTGGATGGCCTGATCACGACATGAAAGCTATCAGCGTCGTCAAGGTACCTCAGGCCAAGTGGTTGCCTCCAATAAGCTTACGACCACCTGGCCAACTCCCGGTGCCGATCGCCCCACCTAACACCACTAGCTACTTCCCCTCGCCATCCCCACCGAAACCCCGATAACATTTGGCCATGTTGCTTGCCGCCCGTCACCCAAGTCTTCTCTCTATCATGCCACTCGCCACTTGTCACCCAAGTCTTCCCTCTATTGCGCTGCGTGATCCCACGTTGCGACTCTATGCCATGGCAAACAACCTCCATCAAGCCCTACCAATCAAACCTAGCTGCCTGTCGCCTGCCACCTACAGTTGTGTTGCTTTGCTTTTTTATTGAATCAGAGTTTGATTAAGTTGGTTGTGTGATTGAATTAGGGTTTGGTTGAATTTGATTTATGACTTGTTTGTTTGGGAGTGTGATTTATTTTCTTTTCGCAAAATTCCAATTGGAAGATCGGGAAAAAAAAGGGGAGGATGGGTTTTTTTTTTTTTTTTTTTTTTTTTCTTGGGTAAAAGCTTTTCGGCTTTGCTTTAAGATCAGGAAAGGGGTTTCCCTAATGTTGCACAGTGGAAATGTGAGATTTGGCTGGAGCCTGAGGTGGGGGTGGAGGAGGTGGTTGTGGAGGTGGAGGCTTTGGCGGTGGTGGAGGAGATGTTTGAGGTGGTTTAGATGAATATGGAGGCTTTGGAGTTGGGGCCGGGGCTAGAGGTGGTATTGATGGTGGTGGTGGAGTAGATGGAGAAGGTGGAGTTGGTGTTTCTTCTGGCCATGATGGAGGGGGTGGAGGTGGAAGAGGTGGTGGTGCTAGAGGAGGAGGAGGAGGAGGTGATGGTGGTGGGGTGGGGGTGGAGGTGGAGGTGGAGGTGGAGTAAATGACCATTTTAACCTTTCATTGTTAAAATAAATGAAACAGAGTTACTTTAAGGGTGGGGATCTAAAATAAATGAAAGCATGGGTATCAACTTGCCTTTTCATTAAACCTAGGTTGGGAACATGTCGTTTACTCTAATAAAAATAATTTTGTTTCCTTATTTTTGCCCTATCCTATTCTTATCATTTCCGAAATACACGTTTGTTTCCTTATCCTGAAAATACTATTATATTATATTAAATTATTTTTAAACACCCTAAGTTTGTTAATTTAACTAAACACTTTTCCAAAAAAAAGTTTAGAAATTGATAAAAACACCCCTACCCACCCACATTTGTCCGATTCCGACCACCACTGCTGGAAGGTGGTCGGAATCTAGTATAATGGCACCCTATCTGGTCAGTAATGCACCGATCTAGCCTTTTCCGGCCAGACCCACCGTGGATCTAGCTGGAAAAGGACAGATCTACAGCTAAAGATCTAGCCGTACGGCTAGATCTTTGGTCGTTGATGACCAAACGCGGCCAGATCTGGCCATCAATGACCAAATCTAGCATTTTCCAACCAAATCCACAGTGGATCTGGCTGGAAAAGACCATATTAGTGCACGAACCACCAGATCCAGCTGGTCGTGCACCGATACGACGACTTCGGCTACCTTCCAGAGGTGGTGGCTGACTTCCAGTATTTAATGGGTGGTGAGGGTGTTTTTGTTAATTTTTAATATTTTATTACAGGGGTGTTTAGTAAATTAACAAACTTAGGGAGGTGTTTTGTTAATTTTAAATTCTACCTCATAATAACCACTAACTTTTACTTTTTTAGAAATACTATCAAAAATACTAAAACAAATACACCCAAAAAAATTAATTACAATTTATGAATAGTAATTTGCAAGATATCTTGATAATTTAATAAATAAAAGATAGATATAGTTATTAAGTCAAACAGATTGGAATGGCACAAGTATTTTGGCTCAATTAACCCTTTTTTTTTTTCTTTTGATCAAAAAATATTTTTTCTTTGAAGGCACTTGAGAGATTTAATAAAGATGAATTAATATGAAGAAAAATTCTGGATCATTATTAAATATGTTGGGAAATTAGCAAACAGGCTAACCCAGAGTGTGGGGAAGATCCACGTGGTCATGTTATTTCAGCTCGAAAGCTTGACCGAATCCAGTAGCCAATATCCACTCAAATTCTAAGGTATGACCGAGCATGTGAGTCAACCAAGGCCGCCAAGGTGGGTTGGCTGGGATCAAGTCAATAATAACACGTGGCACCCATATCATATTATCTCTACAAAGCCATCTTATTAACTTAAAATTCAACCCTAATATGATTGCAGTTGGCGGCTTAGAATTTTAGATTGGGCATTCAGTACATCTTATTTCAATTGATCTCTTTCTTTATGGTATTTCCATATTGTTTATAATATATATAACATTTTGGCTTTGAAAATAACGGATAAAAGAATATTTAAAAAAAAAAAATGTGATGGTAAAACTTTTAAAAACCAGTTTCCAGATATAATATTAATTAACAGAAATTCTAAAACAATATGTTAGGAATAAAAGTTCTCCGATGATGTGATCTCTAAATTTCAATTACTATTGTATTTTCTTGTTATAAATTATGTAAATATTTGTGTTAGGTTAGCTATTTATTATCTTTTTGTTGTTATTGTTGTTGTTGTAACTAATGTGTTTAGATCCGTTTATACGCATTTTAGCTAATTCTTAAAGGAGATTAACACAACAACTCATCGTTACGATGGTTTAATCGCATGTGTATCTTTTTTTGTTTGAATTTCTTTTCAAACTTACCTGAAAATGCTTTTCTACTCGTATTTTATTTCAATTTTAATTGTAAGCAACGTGTTAAAACATATTTTACACTTGACCAGATTTCTTACCTTTTCAAGCAAAGCATAGAAATAGATACGCTTATTATTATTTACTGAATTCGGGATGTGAAATGGGGATCACCTGGTTACAATATTATTTAAAGTATCTAAGTTAAATATAATCCTATCTATTATTTATGTTATTAATTAATTATTTATATATCAATACCACATAAGAAAAGATATAATTTAGAATAAAAAACTTAAAATAAAATCTTAGACTATGTAACTTTATTAATATAAAATTAATTTCATAAACTTATTTGAAGGCAACAAATAACATAAGAATAGGAAATAAGAAATTCTGAAACTTCTCATTAGGGAAAATAATTTCTTTCATACAATTACAATTATCTAGTTCACTATTCCTTAAAATATTGCTTAAGAGTTAAGGTATGGGTTGCTGAGGGGAGTTAGGTTCTTGCTCAACCCATTAAAAAAGAAAAAAAATTAAAAAACAAAAATCAATTATTGCTACATAAATAATTGATGCTACAAAAGTCAACAATATTGATTCACTTTATCCTTATCAATTATTCAATTTCCTGGTCTCCAGGAAATTCTTCCTCTTAGGCTCACAAGATGAAATGTACTCCAGAAAACTAGCAAAATCTGTGTCTTTGTAGCGCCTTGGATTTGCTTTATCAATGAGTTTTGGCGATGGCGTCACCATTGAATTTATAGGAAGAGAATGCAAAGAAGCTACAGATATCCGAGACTTTGCAGAATTCACAAGAACTCTATGTAACACACTCTTGTATCTTCCATTGCTGAATATCTGAATTAAGAAAGCAAGGTTAATTAAACACTATAAGCATAAATAAATAAGTAAACATAATTGTAATACGGCAACCTACTGTCAAGATGTTGTTGAATTTTTATCTCTTATCCACCTCAAATAGTGGGGCTCAACATAGGTTTCCCTGATTCTAAGGTACTCTAGATTTGGATCAAGAAGAACACACTCTAAACCTTACTATTTAAGGCGAGTAAGAGATAAATCCACGTTGAATAAGGGTGGTGTTATAATGAAATTTCAAAGTAATTTTTACTGTAAATTTAACTTCTTGTGATTAGACCCACCTCAAGATGATCGCCAACATTGACAACGAATGAATTAGGAATAGGTTCAATTGTGACCCATTGATCTTTATATTGAATTTGCAAGCCTTCAACCTCATCTTGGAGAAGAAGTGTTAGGAATCCATAATCGGAATGGGGTGGCATTCCAAGGGTAAGATCGGGTTGAGGGCAAGGTGGATAGTAATTTACCACCATTAGCTGGCTCCCATCTTCGAATTTATTTAAAATTTCATCATCTTCTTCTGTCTTATTCATGGTGGCTCCCCACACTCCCAAGCTCTCAAGGATGGCCTCCACTAACATTAAGAACAAATAATTGGTTTCTTTTGCATAGGCAGCCGCCAATCTCCTGTTTCAGAATATTATGAATCAATTATTTATAACAAAGAGTAGAGAGTATTTTAAATTAAAAACTAAAACCAAGCAATTGAAAAATATTGTCAGATCATAATTCTCATTTTGCAACTTTTATAAATGATCTACATAAATAGATTATTAAAATTAATTAGTATTATACGTATCTTGTTTTAGTGTAAAGAAATTATGTCAACGGATTGCATTTTGATGGTGAAGCTGAGGTCTTAATTACCTCCAGTCAGCGGGAGAAGAAGGCCAAAGAGGAAGAACATCTTCCGTGGGATGACACATTAGCTTCAAGAAATCTCTCCAACAGAATACGCTATCCTTGTTCTGGTTAAAGCTAGTTCCATACCGTACCGGTGCTTTCATATCCGACGACATATATTTGGCTCTTTCTTCAAATGGGAGTGCGAAGAATCTTGAACTTACATCAATCATATTGCTGATAACCTCCAGAGGAATACCGTGATTTACAATCTGCATTACACAACAAACTTGTTATTTCCCATTTCCAAAACCTTAATTAAGCTCAATTTATGTACACAGTAACTTAAGCTACCTGGAAAAACCCGTATTCTTCACAAGCTTTAGCGATGGACTTGAGGACTTGGACGCGATTTGGACCCAGCAATTCGGAAAATTCAATAATGGGCAGTTTAAGATTAGGCGTCGCATCATTTAGGTGATTAACTCTTTTGTAAACTGCATTTGGTCGGTCAGAATCCGGCAATATGTATCTTCTAGGAACTCTGCTTATGCCAATTTCATGGAGATGCTTCACTCCTTTCTGGTACTGGCTTTCCGTCACATGATGATCATCATCATTTGTCTTCCTCATCTCATCACTAGTACTAAACGCCATTGCAGGAGACATAGATGTAAATTTATATGAATAAAACTACCTGCAAAACATAGCAAAAAATAATCATATACAAAGATCAATTTTACGGTAGAAAAAAAGAGAAAGACTTGGGCGAAGGAAGGTGATAACCAACCTTCTTTACTGGGAGTTTAGATAGTATTACTGCGAATATACAAAGAAAAGAGTGAATTGGTGGTGTATATTTATAGGAAAGAATTAAAGAGATAGCGAAAACAGTAGCTAGTTTTCGAGGAAACCAGTTCCGGTTTGTGAATCCCAAAGAAAAGTTCCAAATTTTTATAACGAAACCGTCGACAAGTTTTTTTTTTTCCAGTCATACGACGATTAATGGTAGGGCCATGAGAGTTTTCTCCTTACCACCACTTGAAAATAAATCTTTAAGAGCAAGGTGTAATACTTTGTCTTCTTGTTTAGGTCTCCTAGTCTTTATGCTGAAGCTAGAAAGCAAGCTATATAGCCACCTTCTTCTCCCTTTCTCAAAAATTTTGAGAAAAAAAAAAAAGAAAAAATTATTTGGTAAACTATGTTCAGGTTCTACATTTTAAAAACCTAGTATTTATCCCCCTTTAATTTAGCAAATGCTTACATTATTTTTTAATTAGAAGAATTTTTCTATTAAAAGATTAACATACCCCTCATATCGATATTGTTCAAGTATTAACTGAATAGTGATATAATGGACTGTATCCTATTTTAAAAACAAATATTCAGCCACCAGTTTTTGCATACGTGTCAAAATTTGCTTCGTTGTTAGAATATGTCTTGTGGTGGTTGGTCCATCCCAGTATTTCAAACTGCAAGGCTTGGACCATAGTAGACCTGAACCAAAGGGTCAATACAATCAACTCCTACTATTTTCTGATTATAATTAGTATAATACCATGGCTGACTTTTGCCATTCATCCAATCCTGATTAGTAGATCCCTATCCTATATTGGGTCATTAAAATTATATTATTATTATTTTCATATACAATATATATTTTTTTTCTTGATGACCAGAGGTATTCGGATCAGTTTACAAGCACCTCAACTAATACTTCAAGATCATAGAACTATCGGTCGGATAAGAGTCCCAGTGGGTACTCCTATGAATAACTAAGGAGAGACTCGAACTCAAGAACTCTTGAATAATACATTTAAAAGTTCTTATCGAATCACTCAACCACTTAGAAGTAGTTAATTTTTTTCATATTCAAAAATTTTAAGAAATTTGACTAATGAGGTGTGAACGTATACTTGGTCATTTATTGAATACGTATAAGCAAAATACAATGAAGTTCATCGAGTAACTTTACTGCACGCCAATTTTGACTGCTTAAAAAATATATGACTATATATTATCATATGTGTGAATGCATAATCTGATGAGGCTGCTTCTTTTTGGAGTTGAATGAGCTTTGATTATTTTTGGTTTTAATTATATGCATTTGTCGGCAAAACATTACTTAATCTTGAGCTGTAAACATTAGATTCATGACATATTCTTATGATGTAGTCTTAAAAGAGATTATTTCAAAACTAATAAATCAAAATTCTTATGCAAGAATCCATGCCCATCATCCTACGAATTTGCCAGCTGCGCTCTTGCTCTTTAATTTCACCATGTTAAGTAACTTTCACGGTAATTGTGGTCAANAGTATTATACGTATCTTGTTTTAGTGTAAAGAAATTATGTCAACGGATTGCATTTTGATGGTGAAGCTGAGGTCTTAATTACCTCCAGTCAGCGGGAGAAGAAGGCCAAAGAGGAAGAACATCTTCCGTGGGATGACACATTAGCTTCAAGAAATCTCTCCAACAGAATACGCTATCCTTGTTCTGGTTAAAGCTAGTTCCATACCGTACCGGTGCTTTCATATCCGACGACATATATTTGGCTCTTTCTTCAAATGGGAGTGCGAAGAATCTTGAACTTACATCAATCATATTGCTGATAACCTCCAGAGGAATACCGTGATTTACAATCTGCATTACACAACAAACTTGTTATTTCCCATTTCCAAAACCTTAATTAAGCTCAATTTATGTACATAGTAACTTAAGCTACCTGGAAAAACCCGTATTCTTCACAAGCTTTAGCGATGGACTTGAGGACTTGGACGCGATTTGGACCCAGCAATTCGGAAAATTCAATAATGGGCAGTTTAAGATTAGGCGTCGCATCATTTAGGTGATTAACTCTTTTATAAACTGCATTAGGTCGGTCAGAATCTGGCAATATGTATCTTCTAGGAACTCTGCTTATGCCAATTTCATGGAGATGCTTCACTCCTTTCTGGTACTGGCTTTCCGTCACATGATGATCATCATCATTTGTCTTCCTCATCTCATCACTAGTACTAAACGCCATTGCAGGAGACATAGATGTAAATTTATATGAATAAAACTACCTGCAAAACATAGCAAAAAATAATCATATACAAAGATCAATTTTACGGTAGAAAAAAAGAGAAAGACTTGGGCGAAGGAAGGTGATAACCAACCTTCTTTACTGGGAGTTTAGATTGCGAATATACAAAGAAAAGAGTGAATTGGTGGTGTATATTTATAGGAAAGAATTAAAGAGATAGCGAAAACAGTAGCTAGTTTTCGAGGAAACCAGTTCCGGTTTGTGAATCCCAAAGAAAAGTTTCAAATTTTTATAACGAAACCGTCGACAAGTTTTTTTTTTTCCAGTCATACGACGATTAATGGTAGGGCCATGAGAGCTCTCTCCTTACCACTACTTGAAAATAAATCTTTAACAGTAAGGTGTAATACTTTGTCTTCTTGTTTAGGTCCCCTAGTCTTTATGCTGAAGCTAGAAAGCAAGCTATATAGCCACCTTCTTCTCCCTTTCTCAAAAACTTTGAGAAAAAAAAAAAAAAATATTATTTGGTCAACTATGTTCAGGTTCTACATTTTAAAAACCTAGTATTCATCCCCCTTTAATTTAGCAAATGCTTACATAATTTTTTAATTAGAAGATTTTTTCTATTAAAAGATTAATATACCCCTCATTTTGATATTGTTCAAGTATTAACTGAAAGAGATATAATAGACTGTATCCTATTTTAAAAACAAATATTCAGCCACCAAAATCACTTGAACAGTTTTTGCATGCGTGTCAAAATTTGCTTCGTTGTTAGAATATGTCTTGTGGTGGTTTTTTTTAAGTAGACCTGAAACCAAGGTAAATACAATCAACTCCTACTATTTTCTGATTATAATTAGTATATTACCTATATTGGGTCATTAAAATTATTATTATTTTCATATACAGTATACATTTTTTTTCTTGATGACCAAAGATATTCGGGTCAATTTACGCGTATCTCAATTAATCCTTCAAGATCATACAACTATTGATCGGAGAAGAGCTCTAATGAATACTTCTATGAACAACCGAGGAGAAACTCGAACTCAAGACCTCTTGAGTAGTACACTTAAAAGTTCTTATTAATCATTCAACCACTTAAAAGTTAATCTTTTTCATATTCAAAAATTTTAAGAAGTTTGCTTAATGATGTGTGAACGTATACTTGGTCATTTTTTGAGTACGTATAGGCAAAATACAATGAAGTTCATCGAGTAACTTTACTTCACGCCAATTTTGACTGCTTAAAAAATATATGACTATATATTATCATATGTGTGAATGCATAATCTGATGAGGCTGCTTCTTTTTGGTGTTGAATGAGCTTTGATTACTTTTGGTTTTAATTATATGCATTTGTCAGCAAAATATTACTTAATCTTGAGCTGTAAACATTAGATTCATGACATATTCTTATGATGTAGTCTTAAAAGAGATTATTTCAAAACTAATAAATCAAAATTCTTATGCAAGAATCCATGCCCATCATCCTACGAATTTGCCAGCTGCACTCTTGCTCTTTAATTTCACCATGTTAAGTAACTTTCACGGTAATTGTGGTTAAATTCAGCTATTTTTTTTTCTAATTATTCTTTCAAGTGCAGATTTTCTTCAAAATAATACGCTAAATTCTTTTTTCTTTTTTTCCTTTATAATAACAGATCTAGCCAACCATTCTAGTACTAATCAGGCTTCAAATGGCTTTTTGTATTTTAAGATTATATTATTCCGAAACGCGTAGATCAAGTTTGACATTCAAACTAATTTTTGAGTCCTTTTTTAGTTCAGTTAATACTGCGTTTATAAATTTATCTGATTCAAGAACACATTAATTTTAATAATGATATACAGAGCCTTCAATTTCAATAAAAGAACTAAACGTACAATTGAGGAATCTGGTAAAGTGCATATATCTACATGGCTGTTCACCATACTTGAACACAGAAAGCTACATACAAGGGTGGTTGTCTCTTGTAAATATATATGAGCTTATACGCCAAGATTTAACGTGCCAATTTTCGAAAAAGCCAAAGTAAAGACGACAATTTGGAAAGTTACAAACGAATAATTCTAAGAAGCCTGCAATTTGCAATATTTTTAGGCAGCATTTTCATTTATTATGAATTTAGATTGACATGTAATATAAATCTTGTTTGGTATTGGTTAATGTGATTTAAGCATGATTAATAAATTGATTTTTCAAGAATTTTAGACGACTTTCTATCTTGTGAGTACGTAGGATGGACCGACCAACCAATAAGGTCTCCATGTACAAGTAAAATTTGGCCAGAAACAGAACCATTACTAAAAAATTATACTTGACCAGCTGCTTATAATATCTATATGCATGCATATGTTTGGTGATAATATAGATAATGATAACGTTCGTGCATGTTTTAAATTTCTTTTAGATATATATACTCCATGAAATTGTGTGGTTGATGATATACATTTCTAATTTATGAATTTTGAAGATTTCAACCTTTTATTCGATTACCAAAAATATATTATTAATTGGAAGAGGTTTCATTGTTAATTAACCAAAACTTCTCATTATCGAATAGTTTATAAGGGTTCGGTTCGGTATCTACTCCTCTCGTATGGAAGAAATTTTCAATATGTTTCAAATCCTTCACAATTAATAAAAAGACTCAAAAAAAGTATATTATGAAAGAACTCACAATATGTTTTCTTAAAGTGACATTTAAACATCAGTAAGCCGATCAATTGATAAAATCTAAAACAACAGTAACAATGTAAAGAAATCCACTGCATTGACAATTGATTATGTTTCTTGTTAAGGACATATATTAATCTATAATGTCATGAATTGCATTACATACACAAATTGAAGTCATCAATGTCACATTTCACATCCCCGAGTTAATCAATTTGAATTTCAGTTTATAAGACTTGGGTCCTCTTAACTTATTAATTACGTTTAGGTGAAGAATATTTTCATGAAGTCTAAATATAAACTCGTGCATACCTTGGTAGAAAAACAAACAATATCCTATTTGATCGGACTGGGAATATGATATCAAACGAACAAACATCCTCGGTCTGAACTGGATTATAAAATAAAGCCTAGAGATGGTCCTAGTCAATAGTGAATTACAGGGCTACATCGAGCATATGGCACGAAATGGTCTTAGTCAAGCACACGGCTACACTCAAGCATATTCTAAAAGCTAAATAGTAAATAGTACCACCTAGAAGGGTGCTAGTATTGGCAATTTCAGCTACTCCATTTGATTAATTAAACCTAGTTTTTTATATTAGTTGCTCCTTCATCTCGCCTTGGATGCTGACGTGCATCTTATCAATACCATTGGTTTATTTATCTCGTCTTTCCAGGAAACCACCGAGAATATAATAAACTGATGAGACACTTTTACATGTGAGAAGTCATCTCCAACAAATACTCCGATGGCTTATCCATGTATTACAGCTGTTGACCTCTTTAAGTTCTTGTACTTATCCACAATTACTTTGTAAACTTGCGTTTCCTCAAATATATTATACAATAAGGTATCTATCTCTAGGGTTTTCATTGTTTCAATTCTTTTTAAATCGACAAACCCAGGTGGATATTAATTTTTTTTTTCTTTTTTTTTTATAAGGCCGTTTATTAGTGCTGGATCTGTCATCTGTTTATTCTAGATTACAGGAGACCCTAATATAGTAAAGCTAAGTTTGTGTTTCGATTAAAATATAAACTATAATTGGTTGTTAAATATGGATATTAGAGTGTGTTTGGAAGTGTTTTTGACATAAATTTTAAAATTATTTTTAAGAAGTCAAAAGCATTTTTTATGATTAGTTTATAGGATGTATTTAGGAGTATTTGTGTAACAACATTTCAGGTACCATAAAAAGGTTTTATTATTTTTTGTTTAACATTTAAAATTCATCACCTATCAAGTATTTCGTAATTTTGTTTTTTTTTACCTAAATAATTATTTGTTCCAAGGTAATTTTATATGTAATTGTTTTCATGAAAAGCATGTATAAATGTCTATTTGAACTAAATACTTAAAAATAAAAATATATTAGATTACAAGGGCAATTATTCTAACACAAAATGTCGAGTGGTCGAATAGGAACTCTTGGATGTATTACTTAAGAAGTTATGAGTTCAATTTATCTCGGTTGTTAATAGAGATGACCGTTGAAGGATTTTACCTCGCCGTTAACTTCAGGGTCTTTAGGGATTAGTTGAAATATATACAAACTGATTGAAACACCCACAATCAACCAAAAAAAAAAAAAAGAAGTTTTGCAAAAAGAATAAATTTTCTAATTAGATCAAAAGATAGAAAAATTGATAGATGCTGTAAATTGGAGTGATCGATCTTTGACAAAACTTTGACACTTGATATTAGATTTTACTAAAAAATTCTTCGTACCAAAATATTACTAATTACATGAAGCTTGATTATAATATATGCAAGTTGTTATACGGACGGTCTAAAGGGTCTTTGTTCCCTAACTAATTCCTTGAACATTGAGGAATTAAATATATAATGCCCATTTAATATTAGGTCACAAGGGAAGGGCTAGCTCTTAAAGAAATAAATATTTCCATCAATCCTTCCTTCCTGTGAAGCACGAGTGAGCGATAACTCTCAAATACAAGTCAGTCAACCCTAACAAAAGCGACCCTTTTGAGTATTAAAAGTTTTGACTCTAAATCTGTATGTGGCTTTCTGTGTGGCTAGGGTGTTGCCAAGCTGTTCCTAAACTTCATTAATTTGTAGACCTCCCTCATTTCCGATCGATCCTCTGTTCATTTGTTTTTTCTTCTCCATGCATTGGATCCACGTCAACTTTTCATTATTCTATATCTTCAAAATGTAATCCTCATTATTTTATGTCTTTTCCTAGTTCATATCTTACCCACTAACTCTCTTATTTCATCACATAGATATATTTTTTGTAATAGTTATTGAAAATCTTCTACCATAACTACGATATGGGACATTGATTTTTATCTGTTTATCTTTTGATTATGGTCGAATTTCCATATATATATGTTTTACCTCTTCATGGGTTTTCTCCAGTAAGATTTGGAGAGAAATTAATGATATTTTCAACGTGAAGGTAGACTTTGTGACATTTATAATATGCAACAGAAGATGACCCGATG